ACTCAGTGTACAATATATCACTCAGTGTACAATATATACTCAGTGTACATTATACACTCAGTCAGTGTGCAATATATACTCGGTGTACAATATACACTCAGTGTGCAATATATACTCAGTGTACAATATACACTCAGTGTACAATATACACCCAGTCAGTGTGCAATATACACTCAATGTACAATATATACTCAGTCAGTGTGCAATATACACTCAGTCAATGTACAATATGTACTCAGTGTGCAATATACACTCAATGTACAATATACACTCAGTCAGTGTGCAATATACACTCAATGTACAATATGTACTCAGTGTGCAATATACACTCAATGTACAATATACACTCAGTCAGTGTGCAATATACACTCAATGTACAATATACACTCAGTCAGTGTGCAATATACACTCAATGTACAATATATACTCAGTGTACATAGTTTTCCCTGCAATCCCTATCATTAAAATTTATAATGAGTTAGCGGAGTGCAGCATGTGATTATTTATTTACAAATTAATCTTAACAAACTGTTAAAATACATTATTTTAGCTGAAATTAATTTTCAATGAAAAGACTTTTGGGATGTTTTGTATGGATTTCATTTTCACTGATTTTTGCCGAGTTAAAATGTGAAATATAGAAATAAAAAAAAAATCACTTGATTTTATTTTCACTGAAACATTCCTCCAGCGAAAACAGAGAAAATTAATTCCAAGCAAAAATAAAGTATTTTACAGTATGTTATTAAATTTGTAGTAAAACAGAAAAAAAAATGTATTATGACGTTGTCACTTCTGGACATGAAAAAGTCTCAGTTAAGCTAAAGTTCATTGTTTCAAAGGGTATTTCTTCTCCCTAGGGTGTCATTTTCAAAGCTGACACTGAATTGCAATTTGCACCTTGAATTAACTTAGCTGTTTTTCACTTTTCAGGGATGCTGCCAGATTTGACTACACGCATGAAATTTTGCCTGACAGTGAGTCGTATTTCAAAGGGCGACATGTGCCTCGGGCAAGGAGAATTTCAATCATGTGCAGAAATGAAGTTGTCAATCAATGATACTCATTAACGGCTTGTAGCCTGTAGAGCATGTTCTTGATGCGAAGTTACGACATTGTTTCTCGCCAACCTACTATAGTTGTTGTCCTTTCTTAATCGACTGTAGTTGTTATACATGCTAGTCGTGGTAGTTATCTGCAATATCTTGTGTTGTATATATAAACTACTGATTCTTAAATCAAGGTCAAGTTGAACGAGTTTATGCATGTTATGTAATACACTAAAAAACTTGTTTTGGTCCCTGACATAAAAATATGTAACACAATAATGGTCCACAAAAATATAATGTAGAATACTTTATTTTCGCTTGGAATTAATTTTCGCTGAGGGGATGATTCAGTGAAAATAAAATCCAGCGAATATACATTTTTTCCTATGTTTTACATTCAACGTGTCAAAAATCAGTGAAAATAAATTCCATACAAAACGCTTCAAAGGTTTTTTCAGCAAAAATTAATTTCAGCAAAAATAAAGTATTCTACAGTACGTGTTCTTTGAATTACCGTCTGGACTAAAGAACTCTGTAGTAAACATAAACCATTCTTATATTGCTTATATGCAAACCTCTATAAGCAAATCTATAAAAAACTATTTTTTCATTCTTTTTGTTTTCAGTGTATTTTAAAGTTTCTGTGCATTAGTTTTCATATCAAAAACTACTACAAAAATAACATTTTAAATTTACATTAAAGCATAATTCAATGTGTCTATCAAAATGCAATATTAAACAAAAGTATAAAAATTATATAAATACCAAAGTTGTCTGTATTGCATAATGATATTTATAATAGTGAAAGTTCTAGTATTTGGGTAAATTACTTTAGTATCATGTTCACATCTGTGTTTCTTTATAGCATGTAAACTACACTGGTGTAAGAGAAAAATTACCGTTAGTGTGAACTCGTTATGCTTCAGTACTGGGTTAACTATTCTGTAGCACATAATCTAACGTTTATACAGTGAATGCAAAACTGGGCTTACACCATCACTAACTCACCAACCATTTTGCATCAGAATTGTTGAGTGAATTGGGATTTTAAACAGAATGCATTTGAATTCTATGGTCAGCTGTATTAGTATTGAACAGTGACGATCATCATGCAGCGTGATTTTGAATTTCAAACAAACAGTGTATTGTACTGACCCTTAATATTTTTAAATAGGTGGTCACAATATTTTTTTTTTAATTGTTGTTACATAGATTTGTATATAGTTGTTAAACTCAAGAAATGCTGCTTGCATTGGTATGTTTATTTACCTGTTCATAAGTGTGATAGAGCCAAGAGATAATCACTATTGTGTCAAAGACATAAATGTATGAACAAGTTTTATGCAAAACAGTATATCCAGAACTGCCACTCTGTAAGTCAGTATCACTGTACACATTCAGTGGCTGTCGAATGCCACCTTGTACCAAATTGTTTGGAAATGCATAAATATTGTGATTCTTATTTTTTTAATTACTGGGTGCAACTCGAGAGTGACTTTTTCTGGTGAGAACACAGTTTATATGTGATGCAGTATGTTACTGGAATCGTCAATAAGATTGTTTTGCCATTTTGTCAAACATGTCATACATTTTTATACAAATTAGAATTTATGATCTTAGCTTTTTTTTTTACAAATATTTAAACAATGACACATTATAATATGTTTGATTCTAAGGTTCAAAAAATAATTAGGAAAAAATGTAAAGGCCATTAGTTAAGAAACTTCAAAAACCATGCTATTTATTAATAGCCAATAGAGAAGGCTCTTCATTCACCATTTACTGCAAACCAAAAAATGTTTTTTTTCTATCTAGCTGAGGTCATGTCTGTTATTTGGAAAATCATAAAATCAATAAAGTTTGAATCATAGATACTAACAAATGTATACATTTAGTGGAATGTATCGTGTTGAATTGTTTCAGCAGGAATGTTATATTTTACAAAACTTGTAATTGCAAGTTACCATATATTGTAATATTTTAATAAATGTTGCTACTGTGCATTTTTCGTTGTCATAATTCACTGTCCCTGCAGCAGTGTGTCATCAATTTGCAGATATCTATTCCATAAATAAGAATTCAATCTGGTGTTACTGTGCTGTTAAACTGCAAATACTGTAAAACATGTCTTTTTCGCGAGCATGTCTTTTTAGCGAATTTAACAAGAGAACAGATTCGCTAATTCAAGATGTCGCTAATTACTTTATTATATATTCAAAATGGCCAAGGCTTGGGGATTTGTATACAGTAATCCGGAACATAAAAATCTGGGGCGCTTCCTAATTACACTTGACAGTTTTTCTTTGTTTTTATGGAGGTGATAACTCTTTTGGCATGCGGCAGACAAGTATTGTGAAAACAGGAAATCAACAATGACAAGAGAGATTCCCTAAATCAACATTTCGCTATTACGTCATTTTACCACAATTCGCTAAAATTGCATGTGGCTTTTTCAACATGTTTTACAGTAGACCCCAAGATCAAAACTGGTGTGTATTATTTATGGAATTCACACTCACTGATGGCACAATGATGCAAGTTGATATCACTGAAGCAGACACGATTAGATTCTGAATGAACCATGTACAAACTCTTGCTGTATTTCATGTTTCTACCAAATTGACTTGCCATTATGAAAGCCTTAGGCTGTTTAATTGTGTTGTGTTTTGAGTATGTAGTGTAACCAAAATCCTGATAAATTGATAATGTTCATCTGAAATTTAATACAAAAACTGAAATTGTGTAATTTAACAAAACAAAATGCCTATAGCCTGTTAACTATGCCACATGAACTGTAAACTTTAAGTAGTGATTACCGTTTCATTGGATAATTGTTGTATTCATGTCAGTGGAAGCTCTGACATGTATTCAAGGATGCATGGGGATGCAATATATGGATGGACATTTTATAGTGTAACCATCGTAGATGCATTTCTGTAGTTTGTCAAAATCTGTTTTACCACTCCACCATGTTCATAATTAGTTCACCATTCTATAAAAGGTGGTAAAGGTTTGAATAGGGACAATTTGTTACAACATGTGTGGGTTATTCACCGTTAAAACATTGCTGCAATTCTCGGCAATGTTGGTGACTTGAATATTTTTTTATATTATTCAAAAGTCATTATGCTGACATTAGGAGTTTCTGCGCAACCTCATTCAGACTCGATTATCTTGCACCGTTTCTCCATTATGCCAATTATTCCAATGATGATGCGGCGCATATTTGATTTCACAATGGTCGTCTTTCTACTGTACGTCAATGGAGTCACAATTTTCCGATCACCATGGGTACGGCTGAAGGTTGGCAACAGCCGATGCGAAGCTACTTGCATGATTGGCTACCCAATCCTGACACCAATCAGGGACCAGGTTACTTGCCAACAATTGTGTCTACGTATCAAATCTTGCCTTATATATGATTCGATTCAATTGACGAAAACGTCATAAGTAGTTAAAAATAGAAGACTGGGTAACTGAATTGGGGTGATTGTATTGCAATAAATAGTGTATTGCCGTATGACGTCTATGAGACTAGGGATGTTTATATGTACACGTAATGTTCAGCAAAATTATCTTCCCAGTTCAGGAATTTTAGTAAAAAATATAAACCAAACACATTTGTCTCTTTCTTTCTAAACACCCCCACAACTCAATCAGGGATTGAGTTTCACCAAAATGCTTTATTTCCTTTTCGTCACTAATTTTATAAAAACTTTTAATCCATCTAACATTCTGCGGTTTTTTTAGGCCATAAACATTATTCATACCATTTTGAATTAGAATATTGTTGATATATTTTGGCCAGTTACAAGCAAGTTCTGATATGATTCATGTAGTTTAGAGAAAACTATTTCGGTCCACCTGGTATGATTCATCTTTTGTATTCTGTCCAAATACTGTATTCGTGATTTATCGTAAATAAAGTTGATGTCTTGCCATCCTAAATCTCCCAATATTGCTGGGCATGCTACATTCCTATGAACTTTAAAGAGAAACTTGCCAAATTGATACTGGATGCTTTTAAGTTTGTTTTAGTCACTGTACTTTCTGACAGCCATACACTAGATCACAGTCCCTCTGTGACTAGATCCATAGTTAAACTAGAGGGACTGTGGTTAAACGTAATTATATTTTGCCACCATATTCAGAGGCGGAAACATGAAAGTTTGTATGAAGGGGCGAAATCTGCTCACCAACCTTGAGCCGAAGGCGCGACTTTATTAGGGGGTCCGGAGAAATGCTCTCCCTTACAAATTTTGAAATCTAGACCATTTGAAACGCTATTTCCTGCATTTGGGGGGGGGGATTTTGCTGACATAAAGGGTTTCAGCTTGATTTTGAAGCGGCGACGCCCCCAACATTATTTTCTGCCCCCTGTGCTGCCGCCACAAATATTCAAACCTATCGTAACTGTTATGTTGATTTATGATTGATTTACTCTGTGCGTATATCATTGTATTTTATTAATTTCTATAAAATGTGAATGATCATTTTTAGTTTTACCAGTTTTTTACCGCATTTCAAACAGCATCCTCGGTTTCGTCAATAGAATTAATTACTGGAAATGTTTTTTATGTTTGATTTTAACATTTCTAATTAGACTCGGGTCCCCCATAATTTGATTATGGAAATCTGTTTCTCTTTTTTTAGATCATTATTTATTTTCCCCGCTGTATTATAATAGTGTTTGAGGTTATTTTTGACTATATATAAGACATCATATATACATGTTTGTTTTATATTATTTTTGGGGTCTTATTAAATCATTCAAGAACATTTTTGAAGATTTTCTTCTTTTAGCGATATCAACAATACAATTATCTTTTTACTCTGTAATATTTTAGAATTAATTTACAACTCTCGACTTTATGCAACTGTTAATCCTTGATGACCTCTATTACTACGAAAATAATGTGTTATTGTAATGAAGGATTACAATCTGAATAGAGTCGAAAGTTGTAAATCTATAACGCAAACACGATACGTGAGTAGTGTTCAGGCTACACGAAGTACGGCTAAGATTTAATCTTCTATGTTTGCCTATCGGATAGACCCAAGCGCGTTCACGCGCAGAGAGGAAACAATGGTTAGCACGGGCTAAGGAACGCCCACACTTGTAATACAAATACAAAATGTACAAAAATCCTCAATCATTTTAACAAAGAATACTAAGTACAGTAATTAGGCAGGCATACATGTTAGTTCCCGGGAACAATATAATAATAATAGTCTGTATAGAAGTCATATTCTAATAATGGACATAGATCAAAACACAAACAGAAAAAAAACATACAATAGAAGGGGGAAAAAACTTGCATAAATGGATAATTATAAAGTAAATGTATGGATTATAAACTTAAAAAAAGTAAAAGCCATGATGTATGGATTACTTAATTAGATGTCTGTGAAGCAGCAGCTTTCTCACAGGTTGAACATTTTTATATAGCTGATATTCTAAACAAAAAAGTGCTCTTCATCTACAATATCATTAGTATAGCATACCGGACAGCTTCTTTCAGCAATGTTAACTTCTGTCCATTTCATTTTGTGCTCTTATTGTTTGTTTGCTCATTGATGACTTGGATTATTTACTGTCGGAAGATAATTTTCAACTCCAAATTCAGTTTTTAAGTTTCTGTGAATACGTAGTTTCTGTGAATACGTAGTTTCTGTGGTTAATACCTTTATTGTCATTGTTTAGAGAATCTCCACTGTTTATTCTGAAGTTTGTTTCAAGTTCTGTAGTAATATTATTTATTAGGTTTTTGTTTTCCTACTCATTTCCATATTAAGATCTTTGAGAATCGTTTTAATACAATAGACCCAATTTTGCTTCCTGGGTTATCCATATTGATTGCCAATCTGTATGCTTCATTTATGAGGCTGTTTTCAGGCATATTACGCAATCTCAACCAATATTTAAACATCTGTCTGATACATGTAGCTATTAGGGGGTACCGTCCCAATTGTAGTAAACAGGCAAGGTTTGTGGTTCTGTAGTTTATCTTCAGTATGTACTTGCAAAATGTTAAGTGCATTTTTTCCATTGGTGACAATAAGTGGATCAAATAGTTTTTATTATGTCACATGTCCAAATTTCTGCACAAAATGTAAGTATTGGTTTGATCATAATATTATAAAATATTTTCTAATTCATTTTGATGGGAACTTATGTTTCCGAGTAGAACATCTATCTCAGTTTTTAAAAATGCCTTTAGTCTTCTTGCGCTATATCGTGGTTCCCGGTGTTATTCAGTTTCATACCAAGAAACATGTATGAAGACACTATTTCTAATTATATATCATTCACATACAATTTTATTTTATTTAAGCCAGATTTAAGCGTTTCTTAGCCCGTGCTAAGACTTAACGCACGTGATGTTAGCACGGACAAAGGTATTTAACACCTTAACCCGTGTTAAGAGTTGAAGAGGGCTGAAGGGAAATTTCAAATGTGTTTTTTTAAATGTCAGCTATGTTATTCCAACTCCCTGTGATACATATCTAACACAGACTAGTTTGTCAGTAAGTAACATGCATTGAATTTGGATTTTTGGAAGGAAGCTCACAACAGATTGAAAGGGAAAGATCTTCCTAATATTACTAACATTGAAATGTTCACATTCTTATGCAGCATTTAGGTAATTGTTAGAATGTATCCGTGCGGCAGTTCTCCAAATCCCGGTTGCATTGCTAGTGGATATACCATTGGCACAGTCTAGTGTTACAGTATTGGGGTCTCCTTGAAAATTCAGTGTATGTATAATAGACCAGTTGATAAATGGTGTGTATGTGTTACCTGATATTTACAGAATGTCTCTGAATTGACCTATGACCTCCTAATTATGACTCTGGATGATTCATGGAGGATGCCACATGTGGAGCAGGATGTACTCACTCATGTCAAAACGACAGATATCACTTCTAAAAACCTTGAGAGCCTTATGATAGTTTGTTTGTTTGTTTTGACTATGCATTGTCTTCTGACCGTGTTTATTGTCTATTATTATAACTCTAAATGTGTATTTGACTACTAATTTAATAAGAATTTTGTGTTAATTAACTTAAAATGATACTATAAATGATAATATGTTTTGATAAGATAAGTCTACCTTTTCTTGTACGAACACGATGAAACATTTTAAACATAGTCTTACCAATTTCATATGCAGTCAAAAAATACCGGTAATTAGAACAAATGATTGAGATAGATTGCGTAATTCAGCTTTTCAAAGCAATTGTGATATAAACAGTATGATAATACATGCATGTGCTTGTTTTGGAGATTCCGTGAGATTGCCATTTATTTATTTATTTATTTATTTATTTATTTATTTATTTATTTATTTATTTATTTATTTATTTATTTATTTATTTATTTATTTATTTATTTATTTATTTTAAATATATTTTAAATAAAAAAAACATACTACTACGAGGAGCAGCCTGCAATCGACATCGGAGTCAACCCGCCGTGGCGGACTCACCCGAATATATCGTATATCAAACAGCTGCATCAAAACAAATATGCAAAACATTCCAAAATACAACGGCGACGAAAACACATTAATCAATGGTTTTCATTCAAAACATACGCTAAAATCAATATCAATAATGCAATGTCCTTATTTTAAGACTTGTGAGTCAAATGGTGGCATACTTAGATAAATGCAACTCAATATCCCGCCACATTATGCTCACTTCATGTTTCTCAAGTATACGTTATCGATTCAGACAAGTCAACTGATATGTGTTGCATGTACGGATTACAAATTCTGATTTAATAGTGTGGGGTTGTTGTTGCAGCGTTTTTACAAATTCTGCGACAAATAAAAGCGTTGGGTAGACTAGAATGGATTTATATCAGCAAACATAACAACTTATGGACCATGGCCATTATTGAGCAATTATTATTCCAGTTTTTCAAGACATGGCTAATAGTGTTTTGTTACACGTTGTTTTGTAACAGAGCGTTGGAGATAACGAGTATTATTACTGACCCAACCACCATCACGCGAAGGGCTGTGATCTACACGTGTCCGACATATTCGACATTATTGCTAGTATATTAATAGAATATACATGTATATGTATTTCACTTTGTATATTGGCCATGAACGTGTTGGTATGTTGCGCGATCTAGGGGTTACGTAGTATCTATTATATATGTGGGGGGGGGCAAAATGGCGACGCAATGGGTCCTACTGTCCCCTCCTTATCCCTCTCACCTGGAATAAAGTTAATTAGCTGTATCTTTGCACCACATGGATACATACGCTTGGATACTCTTTATTGGACTTCTATAGATAAACCCAATGTTACAGCGATCATATACACGTTTGTCAACGCAATGTCATATTCAACGCTTC